ACCTAAATTTGGACGACGTTGTTTCCAGGGTGCAATTTTACGACTACAACCGTGGCGGTCGCCCTTTTTTTAAGAGGGCCTAGGCCTCCCCCTCGACGCCGCCACCGCCACAGCCAGCTGCCACGGCGCTCCCCGTGAACAGTCCAACCCCCCCGGCCCTGCTCGACCACCTCGCGGCCACATAGGGGAGTACCTGACCCGGCCAGTGAAGCCAGACGGGCACTTTTTTTTTAAAATTATCGGAACCACGCCCACGACCTTTTCTTTTACCAATATACAATTTTTTTATGACTGGTTGTCGCCTTATTTTAAACCCCAACCGCCACAAAATAAGCAGAGCTACTAGAGGAGCGCGTGCAATATTTAGACAATCTCTTTACTTTCCTTTGAAATTTTAACTACTATTTTTAATCGAGTTGAGAGGGTTGAAGGTTGAAGGGGGATGAAAAATACTATTGAAATAACTGCTTAAATATGTGATATATGTATTTAGTATTTAATATTAGAATCCAATTATCAAACTAATAAGAATGCAAAAAAGTCAAAATAATATTGTGTAATGTGCACTGTGGAGGACTGTGAATACATTTGCTTAATTTTAAAATACTGGTCTTCAAAGAAACAAAAAAGTTTTTTTTTTTGTAAGTCAGAGCGACAAAATTTATGTTGGTTTTTGTAGAACAATTTCGTCTATGATACTTAGTTGGCTATCACCTGTTTCTTCGAAATCATTCGATTGCATACTCGTCTTGGAGTTATTTAATTTTAACATCGTACTAACTTTGTCGCAGTCTTCCCGAAAGATGGAAAATATTTTTGATTTTATTGTTGTGAAAACGCTGTTCGATGGTGGGGCTGGTTCTTCAAGAATTATGTCAGAAAATTCCGGTGCTAATGTTTTATTACACGTACAGTATTTCAGTAAAGATTCCGATGACTCAGTAGTGATCCTGTTGATAATTGCTGTGTTACTCATATAAGTAGTGCTTTGATCAGTCATCGTTAAACTACCACTTTCCTTCCTTTGCTGCAAATAGCTAAAAGGTGTTTCCACACTTTTGTTTTCACAAATTTTAGGTGGCGTTAATATTCTATCCGTGTTACATGATTCAGATGTTCGTCTGACTAAATTAAGAAATCTTGCACTTTCAGATGTGATTGCAGTCATAGCGTCTTTGGTTCTCTTGTATATATTTCCAAAAAAGTCCTTGGCAATTGAGGTGAAATCGTCCGAGGTGGTTACGCATGTAGATACTGTTTCATTTTGGTCTATTTTAATTTTTATGGTACTATCGGCTAAATTAGAATTAGATGGTATGACATTAACTTTTAAATTATTTGGTACGTTTTCTGATTTTACTCCGCTGTCTTTTAGACCAAAATAAGCTTTAAAGTTTCTGTGAGAATCTGGCAATACGTTTGAACCGCTACAATTTTCTATATCTGTACATATCATCGCTTGTTCTAGATCTTGCTGTTCGTAAATAAGGTTGTTTATATTAATTGTAGGAGGACATTTGATAAGCCTAAAACTAGATGCATGTTCTTCCGGCATCGCTAAATCATTTACATCTAATGTATTCGAACAATAACTAGGTTTAGTCTTACATTCTTTTTCATTTTTTCTTTTAGTCTCTGGATTACATGTTAGAACCGGTTCAGAAGTAATCAGGTTGTCTTTACTTTCTGTAGCAGAAATATTTTCCTTATTGGAGGATTGCGTTTGTTCTTTGATTTGAGATGAGCACTTATGAAAGTCTGTTAAGGATTTTCTTGTTTTATCTAATGAACAACAATCTTGTTTTGGTGATTCCTTACGTATAGTTTCTGATGAACATTTAGGTAATTTTAGAGCTGAGCAACATGTATTTGAGGCAGTTTTGGGTAGACACTCAGTGCTTCCTTCGGATAGCTTCTTTTTATTTATATTTTCGGAACTGGATGAATATTTAGGTGTGTTTGTTGAAGATGCTGTTTTAGCTGCCAAATTTGTGGTGGAATTTTTATTTTGCTTATCGGAATTACATGATTCTGTTAAGGCATCTTTAGATTTGCTCTGACAAATTTCAGTTGTAGTTTTGTCTACGCAAGTTGTACTGTTTAAATCAGTGTTCTTTTTATCAGGTAAGCAAGAGCTTTGATAATCATGTTTCGATGAACTATTCATTTTTTCGGTGCTATTAGTGCAAAGATGTAAGATTAAATTTGTCTTTCTTATATTATAATCATCTTCATTTACTATATAGGTTAAATATTCAGGACGACGATGTTTTTTTATACCAGTTTTGATATCTAATTTTTCTTCATTTTCATTAAGAGGCAATTTTTCAGAAAATTGGTGTAAGTGTGGTTTGCTAGCTTCGTTACAAAAACAAAACTTTTCACTTGAAGTTTCTGACAAGGTATTTGAATGCTGTGAAGCAATTTCTTTTAATAATTTTCTTACCGGATCGGTCTCAAAAGGTTTAAGTTTATCTTCAGAATCATATACTTGACACATCCTATCGACACATTTTAACGAATCACATTCGGTATAATTATCATCTAAAAATGTTGACTGTAACGTATTACGTGAAATATCTGACTCTGGAAAAAAGGAAAAACTTGCCTGACTTGAATCTTGATCTAATATGGATGACCGGGAGGGATGTGTTCGTCTTAAATTTTGATGACTCATTGTATACGAATACTTTCAAAGTCTGTTTTGAATCATTATGGTGCCTTTATCATTTTCTTTTATGATTTTTTCGTGTTATTACATTTTATGTTGTATTTTTTTTATAAATTTAAAAAATATCGTTTAGGTCATTATGTCAAACCGATGGTAATTTTTTTCAGAATTGTTTATTGTAAAATAATCATTTTGACACAAGTGTTTCTTCTTTTTTATGCGTAACTATCCTTTGCAAAAGAGTATGAACTGATTGTAGGTAGCTAAGACGTTTTTCTCATATTTTATTTTGTTAATTATATTCTGTAATTTTTGAACTTGAGACTGAGATGGTCTAAGTTGGAATTTAAAACAAAATTGAATGTAGTAACTAATGGTAGTTAATGGCTAAATACTTAGGAGTATTTAGCCATTAACTACTGGCACTAGGGTGCTAAACTACAAAATATAAGACGTAGGAGTTAATATAGGTATATTACATCTCTGACGACTTGTACTCGTTGATATAGACACAACACACCACGGGCTACATAATAGTTAAAATAAACATCTCATTTTTCTATTGACCTCAGGACTGTATTATTCGAGACTTTTGTCATCACGAAATTTGGCGGCTGGGATTAATCCGAAAAATTTCTCAGAGCATTCCCCGTGACAGATGCGATAAAATATGCAAAGAAATGCAACATTTCTTCGCAGCGCCAGTGAATCGAACCGATCGGAAAGCACTCGGTCGTCGACGACTCGAGCTGCTCTAGAGCTCCTAAGCTCCAGCTCAGAGATGAGAACAGTATTTCATGTGCAGCCGAACCTACGCCTTGTTAAATTGCAGGCGGCGTGCCGGCATGAAATATTGTCCCGCTCTGCTGAGCACGCCAAGCTTTTTAGAGGCCAATTTGGCCTTCTCTTCCAAGTGACCACGAAACTGCACGTCACTCGACATGTCGACGTTAAGGATTCCGATACTGGCTGAGGCAACAAGGAGAGTGCATTGAAACTGAGGAGATACGACAAAGGGGTTCTTTTTAGCGGTTAACGCGCAAACTTGTGTGTTCTGAGGGTTAAACTGGACAAGATTTAGTCGCCCCCATACAGAGACTTTGTTCAGCAAAGACTCGACTTCAGACACAAGTTTTTCCCGGTACTCGGAGACGTTTTCCCGAGAAATATTAGCACGGCCGGTGTACAGAGCATCACCAGTGCTGTCATCTGCATAGCAATGAATGTTACGGGTTTGCAACATATCATTGATATGCAGAAGGAACAGCGTTGGCGATAGCACGCAGCCTTGTGGAACACCAGCATTAATAGGCTTGTAATCGGAGCTTGCACCGTCTACAACGACCTTGATGCTTCGATCTGCAAGAAAGCTGGTGATCGAATTGCACAATTTCTCGGGAAGCCCAAAGGAAGGGAGCTTCGAAAGAAGCGCTTTGTGCCAAACCCGATCGAAGGCCTTCGCATTGTCCGAACTTACGGCCAATGCGGGAGGCATTGGCCGTAAGTAAGGTTCTTGGACTCTACTGCCTCCGCCCATCTATGAGTTAGGTAGACCAGAAGATCACCAGCTGATCGACCACGGCGAAAACCGTATTGGCGATCACTAATCAGCTGGTGATCCTCAAGGTACCTCATGAGCTGGCAGTTTACAATGGACTCCATTGTTTTGGTGAACAAGCAGGTGATGGCGATAGGCCTGTAGTTGGACGGGTCTGAGTGGTCGCCTTTTTTAAGGATCGGGTGGACGAAAACCGTCTTTCATGATTTTGGGACCACGCCTATGTAGTAATAGGAGTACCGGAAAAGACACGTTAAAACCGGTGCCAACTCTGGAGCACACGTCCTCAGCACAATTGGGGGGATTCCGTCAGGCCCACTCGATTTGTGGATGTCCAGGGAGAGGAGTGCTTTGCGAACCGAGCGCTGTGTGAACTGCACTTCCAGCACGGAGCACTCACACCGCGGGATGGTCGGCGGCATATTCCACCCGTCATCGAGAGTCGAGTTGGATGCAAAGAAAGAGCCTAGCAGATTGGCTTTCTCCTTTGCAGTATGGGCCAGTGAGTCGTCCTCCCTGTGCAGAGATGGAAAAGATGGCTGACAGAAATTCACCTGGACAGCTTTGGCGAGAGACCAGAATGCACAAGTTCCAGAAGGAAGGCGAATAAGTTTCTCGCCAATTCTGCCTATGTGCTATGACTTTGCCTTGGCAATGAATCTTTTGAGGGACCTGGAAGCGGAATTATACTTCTGTTTTAGAGCGCTGGTGTTTACATCCCGGGACGTTGATGTGTCAGCCCAGGCTTGGTAGCACTCCTGCTTATAGCATGATGCTATTTTCCAGGACCGACCAAACCATGGGTGAGATTTGCCTCCGATGGGCACCACAGAGGAAGGAATAAAAAATTCCATACCCTTAAGTACCACATCAGCGACAGAATCCGCAACAACTTTGGGATCGTCCGGCGAGAAGCAAACCCGCCCCAAGGGTAGGATGCAAAGAAAGACCGCATCATATCCCAATCGGCTGATCTAAAGTGATAAACACGGCGGCAGCCTGCAGAATGCAACTGCGATTTCAGCGTAAGTGGCACCACACTCAGGACAAGACAATGGTCCGAGGAGCCTAAAGAGGCGTCGACGGAAATCTGATATCCGTCCGGGTGAAAGGTCAGCAGAAGGTTCAACAGGGAAAGTGCATGATGAACATTTGGAATCCGCGTAGGTGAAGTAACCATTTGTGTCAGACCATACGCCAAGGCAAAATCATGAACAGATCTCCCCGCATGATCGATTAACCATGAAACAAGCCATTCGGCGTGATGGGCGTTAAAATCGCCGAGGATCACGATCTCTGCGGAGGGGATCTGCTTTAGCAACGAATCTGTAGCCGGATTAAACATTTGGTACCACGACCTAACAGAATACCTAAATAGATAAAACGATAATAGACAAAATAGATAAAACATTTGGACGTGGTTGAAGAGTCGGTCTGTTTTGGCATTACCGCTATGGGATCTATAGAGGCACCCGTAGACGCGCGGATGCTCGTCGCTGTCTACGCGTAGCTAAATGATGGACAGGTCCGAACCTTCAAGACTGCCGAGGCGTCGAGAACAGATGTCCTCTCTGACGTAAACGCAAACTCCAGCCCGAGGCACAAAGGAGTGTTCCAGTTTGTACCCCGGGTAGGAGAGATACGAGACATTAGCCGGAAGGGACACCTGCGTCTCGGTCAGAAAGAGCAGAGCCGGCGTCGCCGTCTCGAGATGGTAGTGGATGGCGTTTAGGTTAGAGTGAAGTCCCATCCAATTGCAGAAATTCACGGACAGCGTGGCAGGGGTCGCCTTGGTCTTGTTGCTCCGTTTGCCCCGAACAGTTGTAGTCTTGAGCGGAATTTTGCCCCTTCCCCCAGCCCCACATAATACGGGGGGCAACCTGAGCACCCACGCTCAGGAGTGGAGTAACTTGGTTGTGGATGCTCAGCGAGGGCTTCTCCAGAGGAGCTGGTACCCTCCTGGGGTAGTTTGACATTTAATTCCGCTACCTTGTTGATTGGGGGGGTTGGGTTTGGGCCTCCGGCCACCTGCACTCACCAGGCGAAACGCGGAAGCAGAGCTTCCACTTTTTTATTTTTTTATTTCAATTATACATAAAACATATTACCAGAGTACATAGTTACTATACAGCACCATTAAACCGCAAAACGTTTAATGGTGCTGTATAGTATAGTTTGTATTGGTGCTGGCAGACGTCTACACGCATTAATATATTATTTTTAATAACTACCTACTATCATAAAATTGAAAAACGTTATGACAATTCTTAAGACAATAGGTAGTGATTGTGCACTTTTCATATACAGGCTGATTTCTATAGTAAGTTATTTATTTTTAATAATTAGTTAATAATTAATTTTGTGTGTATGTGTGTGTTTTTTTTTAAAGTTTTACTGAGGTAATTGGAAAATTCGAAGACTTAATTTAGGTTGTGTAGTATATGATGCTTAAATTTATATTTTAAGTTTTTTTAGTCAATTCGTTCTTAATTGTTTCTGGAAGATCGTTAAGAATAGAAGGTAATATATTAAGAGTGCGCCTGTCTCCATAAAAGTTGTTTGATTTTATTTTTGCTACTGTTCTTGATTACGTTGTCGTGTTCTATTACAATATTTTATCATTTTCAGTGAAAGAATCGTATTAAAATCTTCAATCATGATATGATATTCAATTTAGATTTATGTCAGTAGGCAAACTCGTTAGTAGAGTATCGTTGATCTTAGCACAGCAGAGTCCCAATATCCGCTTCCTTCTTCAGGATGAAGACCTTGCTTTTATCTTCTTTACGTGCTCTTATTTTTCCATCCTTGAACCATACATATTTAAAGGTTTCTGATAGCTGCTGTCTTGCTTTCCACAACAATGCCTTATTGTGTGGCGTTAATGCTTCGCGTACAAATATTTTTAAGCTATTGCATAGCTTCTATCGCGGGCCTTGAGCGCGGGGACCGAATCCAGAAATTCCGTAACGAAAAAACCTCACGCTCCCCACTCCGACGGGCACGGAGGTGTGGTGTGGCGTTGAAAGCCGTGCATCGTCTAACGTCGTTTCAGTTCGGCAGACTTCGGCACTCGGCAGACTTCGGCACGGTGTTTGTGTGCGTGCGACTAGACGTATGCGTGTACACTAGCTGCTAACTCAATGATAAAAATTCCTGAATAACCTACATGTATTGTAAGATATTAGAAATATTGTAAACAATATTAACTTCTCATTTATTCAATAAGAGAAAAAAAATTGTTTTCTTATCGGTCACCACGCTCAAAAAG